GCAGCACATGGCAGTGAGGGGAGGGACAGCTGAACTGCCGGCAATTGATAGCCTGCTGGGCGGCTGCCGCACAGGGAACTTAGGGGAACGGGGAGCTGATGGGGAGCTGCCGGTCCACCCTGGTTCCAAGCCCCCACCAGCTAGCTCCAACGGGCTGCTCTTCCTGCAAGCAGTCAACAAGCAGGCGGCTGCCAAACAACGTTATAAGGGACCATTGCGCAACTTTAAACGAGCATGTTCTCTTATTGATCAGCAACATAACAAGGAAACACCATTAACCGGGACAACATTAAGGGAGGAGTTACTGTATTGTAGTAGAGCCAACAGGCCACAGACTTACTGTGCTAGGTGCTGTACAAACACAGTCAACATTTCCCAGCCCCCAGAAGCTTATCCAATCAAACTGGCCGTCTGGAGCAAACACCAGAAACTGAATGGACATGGAGTCTGAGATCTCCTTCAACTCGTAAAAGCCAATGGAGAGGCATAGCATTGGCAGTGGTGATTGGTTAGGAGGAAGCCAGCCCTGATGCTGCCTGTGCTGAGATTACAGATTTCAGTCTCTAGGGCTGTCATCTTGACCCATTCACAAGCTTCAGAATCACGTGAGGATTTTTGAAAGCATGACGAAGAAAAGCATCAACAGTGCTCAACAACACAACATAGGAAATGGAAAACTGCTCTTCACCTATCTAGAGACTGAGAGGGTTGGTGCTGGGATAGGAAGTGGTACCTGGAAATCTGTAAACTGGAGTAGAGGATAATGAGACAGATGCAGCAATTTCCTGCAATATCTTTGGAAGATCTTGCTGTAATACATTTAGGTATCATTGTGGGCCAGGGCCTGTATGGAATTCCCTGGGGAAGGGTGACCAGAGCCCTCCAGGAACTAAGAAAATTGGGGGTTGATTAGACAAATTCACTCAGGGTGGTAACACCTCCAGAGAAGCACCACCCACTGGAAAGGCTCACATACACTAGGGTCCAACTAAATTATCCAGAGACAGGACTCTTGGATAAATAGCCTAAATTTAATCTGCTTCAGGGCCTCTCTTCTGATCCAGCCAACAAGCAGAACCTTCTGCAGGGTGCCCCCCCCAATCTGTAGGGAAGGATTGGAAGGACCAATGCCTGCCAGAGCCCAAGGCTGGAACGGGGGAGACAAGGATCATAGTAACCCAGTTACAGAGCCACGAACAGAACAAAGACCTGGTCTACACTTAAAAGCTATGCCAACCTCAGCCCAGATGATGTAGACCAATGTTTCTCAAACTGTGGGTCAGGACCCCAAAGTGGGTTGCGACCCCATTTTAATGGGGTCACCAGGGCTGACAAATTGCTGGGGCCTGGGGCCAGAGCCAATGCCCGAGCCCCACCACCCAGGGCCAAAGCCCAAACCCGGCCGCCCCAGGTCAAAGCCAAAGCCCAAGGGCTTCAGGTAGATTACCTACAGCGATGGAAAAACCCTTTCCTTTGTAATAGGAAACATATACATTACGGGTGCTACAGAGACATAGCTGCAGTGTCCATCATGTAGATATGTCCCTGGAACGCCCAGCTCTAAATCCCTTGCTCTAACTGCCAAGACCCGTTCTCTACTGAGGAAAAGGCAGACTGTCCTGGAGCAACCGTGCCATGCTCCAGCAGGTCATACGCTTTCCTTTCCCATTTCGCTCTGCAGGCTTGCATGGCTGTAACTCTGTAGATCATTCACATACACAAAACAAACAGGAGAAATGTGAAGTTAGCTCTCTTGCTACCACCATCCTCAGCAGCAAGTCCTTTCCTTTCCCCGAGACAAAGTTCACAGCATTCTGATAACACCTTGCAGGTGTTAGAATGGCAGCATAAAGTCAGCCAAGCCCTAGAAACATTGAAAGTCAAAGCATGTAAGTTACTTTAATTCTGCTGTCCTTGACTCTTCCTTAACAATATAGCCTATGGTACAGCACACCTAGGGTGACCAGATGTCCCATTTTTATAGGGACAGTCCCATTTTTGGGGACTTTTTCTTATATAGGCGCCTATTACTCCCCACCCCTTGTCCCGTTTTTTCACAGTTGCTATCTGGTCACCCTAAGCACACTTATCCTGTGCTATTTCATATTACTACGGATTGGTTGCTGTGAAGCTTTCCAGTGGAGGGAAGGGGGGGGTGTGTGGAAGAGACTCCCCAATTACACATCCCTACAGATACCCCGTCTTCTCTACTGAGAAGGGCAGCTGCTTCCTACACTTTGCAAAACTGCCATGAATGTTTACCATTCCAGGTACAAATCTACTTGTTCAAAGCTCATGACGACACTGGAAAAAACTCCAGTTCATATTTTTACTTGTGAGTTGAAAGAAACATGGCAAGCAGGCTAATAAAATACTGCTGGATTATGCTACAATATAATTCCTCTCTTGCTCACTGCATCCTCTAGCTACATATTGGCCTTATAAGCAGGTAAAGGTGGTAGAAGTATGAGAAGAGTCAGGTAATTATAGTTTGTTTACTCTCTGGTAGTGCCTAGAGGGCCCCATTATGCTGGGTGCTGTACAAACAAAAGAGACAGGCTAGTCAGCACTAGTAAACCCACACCTAACACTTCTGTCAACCCTCACTTTCGTTTTCAAGTTGTTGCAACAGGGCTCCCAACCGACATGAAATCACATCATGCATGGACTCTCACAGGACTCTCGGTCTGTACAACAATGCGTTTCTGAGAGTCTACAGCTAGTATTTCCTCAACAAAACATGGAGAGCTAGGACTTCAGTGGCGTTAACTACTGTCTTTAACTGGCTTAACACACGCAGATACTGAAAAATGAAAGATTCCCTCTTATATTACAGAAATAGCTCTACATATTGGTAGGAAACTCTGAATCCAGCATCTAAGACAGCTATGGCATGTTGCACCTCAACTGATTCTCATCTACCTACCCACCAATTTTACAGATCAGAGACTAATGTAGTTTACAACACAGCATTCCAGCTGCCTTTTAACAAATTGTAATAGCTCTGCAATGATTTAAAACAAAAACCCCACACTATATTTACTCACATATGAATCAGTCCTCAAGCAGACCAGAGGGTAAATCCTGACTAATGAATCCAATGGAAATTTTACCATCGACTTCAATGGGGTCAGGATTTCACCCCCGATTTCTTTTGGCCGTGCACAGTTTAAAGGAGGTTGCTTTTTGGCTTTCAGTGGGAAGTCTCTCCATGTGCTCTGGGCTAGTGCACTTCTCCTTTGATTTGTGCACAGTGCAACTCTTAGCAGGGAAGACTTGCTTCTTTATCTTAAAGGAGCAAACCCAAAAGCCATTGGTCAACAGCCATGGATGAAGCCATGCTAAGCAAGCCCTGACTGGGATTGCACATGGATTTGTTCGCCTAATTTAAGCGCCAGCAAGCCAGACGGCGTGGGTTAGAAAGCTGTGTAACATCTACAACAGCAGCAGGTACATGCCTGCCCAGTCACTCATCTTCCCTAAATAAGGCTGTGCCAGGAGACCCAGAAGCACTCCTTTTCAGGTTGAAACAAGTACAGGGAGCGGATCTGGGATCAAAGGAGCCCAAGCCAAGTGCACAGACTTGGCAACGAGAAGATGAGTGACGTTCCTAAAGTTACCATTTAACACCAGCCCCTGCTCAGGAGCAGAATGGGGTGACCTACACCAGTTGTTCAGAACAAGGGAACAAACTACTGTACTGCGCCCTCTGCTAGCTAGGCCTGCTGTGGCGCTCAGGTTGCTTCCTGCCGCACGCTACCTGTTCAGTCTGGGTATACATGACCTTTGAAAGAGTAAACCTGTAGGAGGGTGAGTGACCTTGGGAAAAAGGAGTTCGGGCCATTTCTTTGCAAATCCCAACAGGCTAGGGGTCAAGAAAGCATCTTGATGCCCTCTAGCTCCCAGAGATAAAGGCAGGGACTGTAAGGAGAGGCTCTCTCATCCTAACCTTTTAAAGCAGCACTGCCAGCCCCTTTCACTGTCACAGGTATGCAATCCCACAGAGATGGTGCATAAATAGCAAGGGTCAGGGGGTCACTATACACATAGCCTGTTATGGGGGCCTGGGGGTTTTCAAACCCGACACCCATCTCACCCTCTTGGGGTGAAATAAAGACAGTTAATAGATAATGTTTTCACCCCTCAGCCACCCTGGGTACAACAATGCCAGACTCACTGACAACCCAGCTGCCTGGGTGGGAAACTTACACCATGCAATCAACTCTCAGCACCAGTACACCATGCAATCAGGCTACCTCCTGCCCCATCTACAGTAGCAAAGCCAAAACCTGCTACCAATAGTCCAGAAAAGGAAAAGCCAAACAAGCCACACCCGGACAGAGGGGAATGGGAACAACCATGCAACACCCATTTCCCCCCTTACAGTATGTATGTGGGGGAGAGGTTAGGAACAGGGATACAATGGGGAAGAAAAGCTATTTAATGCCCCCTTATAAGCACCATGCTGGCCAGTAAGGGCTGATTGCACCCCAGCCCAGGACACATTAGCAACAAGCCAGAGAGCCTGGAGCTCCAGGGGGCTGCACTCCCAGGAGTGGGGAGATATGCAACAGAATCGGACAGTGTATCAGGGAGAGGGGCCCCAAGCGGGGAAGGGGAGACCCCGGGCTGGAGGGGGCTGTCTGGAATCAGGGAAGGGGAGACCCCGGGCTGGAGGGGGCTGTCTGGCATCAGGGAAGGGGAGACCCCGGGCTGGAGGGGGCTGTCTGGCATCAGGGAAGGGGAGACCCCGGGCTGGAGGGGGCTGTCTGGCAGCACACGTGGCAGCGGGGAAGGGGAGACCCCGGGTAGCCCACGGGGGGAGGGGGAGGCTCCCTCTCGAGAGCTGACAGCTGCCTACCACGCCGGCGCCTGCCCATCACCGCTCAGCGGAAAGCCCAAACAATTCGGCGGCTCAGCCCCCGCAGCTCGGAGCCCGGCCCGGCCCACTCCCACCCCATCCTCTCCCGGAGAACGCGGCCGCCCGGCCCGATACTCACGATCCGTCCGGTGCTCGCCGCCCCCGGTGCAGAGCCCTAGTGCGCACCGTGCCCAGCCCCCCCCCCGGCCGCTCCCCGCGCTGTCCCCACGTGCTGCCCGACCGGGTCCTTCTCGAACACTGAGACATTCAACCGATACACTACGGCCCGCACGCCCCGCCCCCTGCGCGAGACAGCCACATCTCGCGAGACCTGCCCGCCGGCGAGCTCCTCTCCTGCCCCGACTCCGCGGCCAGGAGAGGCAGCTGCGCATGCGCCTTTCGAACCCACCTCCCTCCTCCACACAAGGGTACAGCAGAGAGGGGAGAGAGCACGTGGAGGAAGCCTAAGAGCCTG